ATTTCTTTATACTGAAATGATCAGTTTTTAATAAATAAAAGTCTCTGCCTCTTTAAACCATCATACTCTTTACATACAAAAAAAGGCATCATTCTATGGACTTTACAAGGTATTATATTTAAATTGTTATGACAGCTAATTTTCTGTCCCTTTTATAACTAAACTGCCCACAACATTTCTGAAAACTATCTATTTTTTATTTTCAAATATTTCTTTTTTCTTTTCATTTTTTTATAATTAATTAATTTATTTTTAGTTTCCAACATACACTTCCATAGGATTTTGAGTTTTGAATTTTCTCCTCCACCCTCTCCTCCCCCCTCCCCAAGACAGAGTACAAACTGATATAGGGCTCTACTTATACATTCATAATAAACATATTTTCACATTAGTCATGATGTAAAGAAGAGTTAGAATTAATGGGAGGAACTATGAGAAAGAAGAAATAAAACAACAAAAGAGAAGGAGAGCAAATAATATGCTTCCATCTGCATTCAGACTCCAAAGTTCTTTCTTTGGATGTGGATAGCATTTTCCTTCGTGAGTCTTTTGGAGTTGTCTTAGATCCTTGCATTGCTGAGAAGGGCTAAGTCTATCAAGGTCAGTCATCACACCAAGTGGCTGTTACTGTGTACAATGTTCTCTTGGTTCTGCTTATTTCACTCCACATCAATTCATATAAGTCTTTCCAGGTTTTTCTGAAGTCCACCTGCTCATCATTTCTTATAGCACAATAGTATTCCATTACATTCATATACCACAACTTGTTCAGGTGTTCCCCAATTGATGGACGGCCCCTCAATTTCCAGTTCTTTGCCATCACAAAAAGAGCTGCTATAAATATTTTTGTACACATGGGTCCTTTTCCTGTTTTTATATATCTTTGGAATACAGACCTAGAAGTGGTATTGCTCCATCAAAGGGTATGCACAATTTTATAGCCCTGTGGACATAGTTCCAAATTGCTCTCCAGAATGGTTGGATCAGCTCACAACTCCACCAACAATGGATTAGTGTTCCAGTTTTCCCACATCTTCTCTAACATTTATCATTTTCCTATTTTGTTATGTTAGCCAATCTGATAGGTGTGATGTGGTACCTCAGAGTCATTTTGGTTTGCATTTCTCTAAGCAATAGTAATTTAGAGCATTTTTTCATATGACTATAGATAGCTTTAATTTCTTCCTCTGCAAACTGCCTGTTCATATCCTTTGACCATTCATTAATTGGGGAATGACTTGCATTCTTATAAATTCGACTCAGATACTGGTTGTAAAAATTGTTTCCCAGTTTTCTGCTTCCCTTCTAATCTTGATTGCATTGACTTTCTTTGTGCAAAAACTTTTCAATTTAATGTAATCAAAATCATTCATTTTGCATTTCATAATGTTCTCTATCTCTTGTTTGGTCATAAATTCTTCCCTTTTCCATAGATCTGACAGGTAAACTATTCCTTGCTCTCCTAGTTTCCTTATAGTATCAGTTTTTATATCTACATCATGTACCTATTTTGACTTTATCTTGGTACAGGGTGTAAGATGTTGGTCTATGCCTAGTTTCTGCCATACTATTTTCCAGTTTTTCCAGCAGTTTTTGTTAAACAGTGAGTTCTTATCCCAGAAGCTGGAGTCTTTGGATTTATCAAATAGTAGATTACTAGAGTCATTGACTATTGTGTCTTGCATACCTAACCTGTTCCACTGATCCACCACTCTATTTCTTAGCCAGTACCAAGTAGTTTTGATGATTGCTGCTTTATAATACAATTTAAGATCTGGTATAGCTAGGCTACCTTCTCTTGCATTTCTGTTCGTTAATTCCCTTGATATTTTGGACCATTTGTTCTTCCAGATGAATTTTGTTATTGTTTTTTCTAGCTGTATAAAATATTTTTTGCTAGTCTGATTGGTATTGAACTGAATAAGTAAATTAATTTAGGTACAATTGTCATTTTTATTATATTAGCTTGACCTACCCATGAGCAACTGATGTTTCTGCAGCTTAGGTCTGACTATTTGTGTGAAAGGTGTTTTGTAATTGTGTTCACTACAGTTCCTGGGTTTGGTTTGGCAGGTAGATTCCCAGATATTTTATGATGTCTACATTAACTTTAAATTTCTCTTTCTATCTCTTGCTGTTGAGCTTTGTTAGTAATATATAGAAGTGCTGATGATTTATGTGGGTTTATTTTATATCCTGCAACTTTGCTAAAGTTGTTTATTATTTCAAGTAATTTTTTACTTGATTCTGTAGGATTCTCTAAGTGTATTATCATATCATCTGCAAAGCAATAGTTTTGTTTCTTCTTTGCCTATTCTAATTCCTTCAATTTCTTTTTCTTCTCTTATTGCTAAAGCTAACATTTCTAGTACAGTATTGAATAACAGTGGTGATAATAGACATCCTTGTTTTACCCCTGATCTTATTGGAAGTGCTTCTAGCTTATCCCCATTAATGCTTGCTGATGGTTTTAGGTACATGCTACTTATCATTTTAAGGAAGGCTTCATTGATTCCTATGCTCTCTAGTGTTTTTAATAGGAATGGGTGTTGTATTTTGTCAAATGCTTTTTCCACATCTATTGAGATACTCATATGATTTCTGTTAGTTTTGTTTTTGATGTGGTCAATTATGTTGATAGTTTTCCTAATATAGAACCAGCCCTGCATCCCTGGTATAAATCCTACCTTGTCATATTGTATTATCCTTGAGATAAGCTGCTGTAACCTCTTTGCTAATATTTTACTGAAAATTTTTGCATCTGTATTCATTAGGGAAATTGGTCTACAATTTTCTTTCTCTGTTTTATCTCTTCCTGGTTTAGATATCAGCACCATATTTGTATGATAAAAAGAATTTGGTAGGACTCCTTCTTCACCTGTTTTCCCAAATAGTTTATATAATATTGGAATTAATTGTTCTTTAAATGTTTGATAGAATTCACTTGTAAATCCCTCTAACCCTGGAGATTTTTTCTTAGGGAGTCCATTAATGACTTGTTCAATTTCTTTTTCTGAAATGGGGTTATTTAAGGATTTTATTTCCTCTTCTGTCAATCTGGGTGATTTATATTATTGTAAATATTCATCCATTTCACTAAGATTATCAAATTTATTGACATACAGTTGGCGAAAATAGCTCCTAGGTATGTTGCAATTTCCTCTTCATTGGTGGTGAATTTACCCTTTTCGTTTTTGATGCTGGTAATTTGATTTTCTTTTTTTCACTCAAATTAACCAAAGGTTTATCTGTTTTATTGGTTTTTTTTTTTCATAAAACCAGCTCTTAGTTTTATTTATTAGTTCAATAGTTTTCTTAATTTCAATTTTATTAATCCCTCCTTTGGTTTTCAGAATTTCTAATTTAGTATTTAGTTGGGGATCTTTAATTTGTTGCTTTTCTAGCTTTTTTAGTTACATGCCCAATTTGTTGATCTCTTCTTTCTCTATTTTATTCATGTAAGCATTTAGAGATATAAAATTTCTCCTAAGAACCGCTTTCGCTGCATTCCATAAGTTTTGGTATGTTGTCTTATTATAGTCATTCTCTTGGATGAATTTGCTGATTGTTTCTATGATTTATTGTTTGACCAACTCATTGTTTAGGATTAGATTATTTAGTTTCCAATTGATTTTTAGTCTATCTTTCCATGGCCTTTTATTATATGTAATTTTATTGCATCATGATCTGAAAAGGATACATTTGCTATTTCTGCCTTTCTGCATTGGATTATGAGGTTTTTATGCCCCAATACATGGTCAATTTTTGTGTAGGTGCCATGTACTGCTAAGAAAAAGGTATATTCCTTTCTCTTTCCATTCAGTTTTCTCCAGAGGTCAACCACATCTAACTTTTGTAAAGTTCTATTCATCTCCTTAACTTCTTTATTGATTTTTTTGTGGTTAGATTTATCTAGTTCTGAGAGGGGAAGGGGAAGGTCCACCCACTAGTATAGTTTTGTTATCTATTTCTTCCTGTAACTCTCTTAACTTCTCTAAGAATTTGGATACCATCCCATTTGGTGCATCTGTGGTCCATGTCCTTTTCTGCTTTTTGCTCATGGTACTTGCCTAATTATTGGCTTTTAGAGTTGAGCTCTCCTGCTGGAGCATAGAGGGCACTGGCCCAAGTTTCTTATGCTGGGAGCCCAAGACTTTGTCACTGGCTGTGTGTGCTGGGGCCTCAGGTGCTGGCAGCTGGAGGCTGTAAGGGTCTGGCAGCTTACCTGCTGCTGACCTAGGGTCAGCTACACTGGAGCTCTTGGGGTGGGGATGGGGAGTCTGGCTCCTGGGATACACCTGCACACCCAGGCCTTGCACTTTATGCACTGTGCCAACTAACTGTCCTATGAAGTAGGCAATGATTGATATCCTTTACTGAAGATTTAATTATTTTTTTTTCTCTAGGCAATGGGGTTAAGTGACTTCCCAAGGTCACACAGCTAGTAAGTGATAAGTGTCTGAGGCTGGATTTGAAGTCAGGTCGTCCTGACTCCAGGGCCAGTGCTCTATCAACTGTGCCACCTAGCTGCTCCCAAGATTTAATCATTTCTGTTTAAGCAAAAGTAATTTTTCTGTAGAGCAGCTAAGTGACATAGTGGATAGAGTGCTCGACCTAGAGTCAGGTAGACTCATCTTCTTGAGCTCAAATCTAGCTTCAGACACTTGGCACTTACTAGCTTTGTGACCCTGGGCAAATCACTTAACCCTGTTTGCCTCAGTTCTTCATCTCTAAAATGAGCTGGAGGAGGAAATGGCAAACCACTCCAGTATCTTTGACAAGAAAACCCCAAATGGGTTCCCAAAGAGTTGGACACGACTGTAACAACAAAACAACAACTATTTTTCTATACTTTTTGGGACTAAACTTTTCCATGTGAAAGGTCAGTATCTTAAAACTACTATAAAGTGTATCCACACCAGAAAAGAAAAGCAGAGTTGCAATTAAAGCTATGAGTCTCTATTGCATACATTTTATTTTTCAGAAGTATATATTAAAGCGTTCACTTTGATGGCAGTATATTAAAATTAAAATGACACAGAGAAGATTGGTATAACCCCATTACAAGAATGACATGCACATTCATAACACATTTCATATTTTCAATATTATCTGAAAATATTATCCCATACCAGGTTTCCAATATTTGAAGATTTAAAGACGTTTCAAATGGGCACCTTGACCAGAAACTGGAATGTTGAATCTCCATTAGGTAGACTTTCATAGATTTTACCTGGTTTTGGACCAACTCCAAAATGAAGAGATGCCTTTTGCAGCATGTTAGCACTACTACATTTGATTTGAGCAGTTTTCATGTTGTGAGATAACTTTCTTTAGAAAGAAAGAAAGTGTTTTGAAATCTAAAATGTAAGCGCCCCCCCCATTTTGTTGGTACCAAAATAATTGGCTTTGAAAAATTATTCACATTCTGAATTGATACTTAAATGATATTTTTGTAGAGAACACTATCATTAAAATGACATACAACTCTCAATATAAACCCAATTGCGTTATATTACTGAGCACTATTTTGATTTGCTAAAATTTTGTGATTTAATACAGGTACTGTTAATCTTGAATCAGCACCTGAAGAAACATGTATAATTTAGGATGATGTTCTGTTGCTTATGTTCAGTTTGAAATTAGAAAGGGAACCAGAAAAAAATTAAATTATTACCTGAATTTAAGAGCATTACAAATCTCACATCTTTTAGCCTTCCACATAATGTTTAATTAACTTATACAAAAATTGCCACATATATGAATTATGTTTTAATAAGTGCTAAATACATGTCAAATTATTTAACTGTAAAAAGGTAATTGCATTTTTTTATTGTAGTAATTGATCACAAACAAGTATTTTTACATGCAGATCTGTGGATCATTTAATTTAGTTTCCATTCTGATTTGAAATATATATCCTAGGGACTTACTTTTTATAATCTCCTTATGGCACTGTTAAACAAATGAAAAAAAAAAAAAGGATGGGAAATTGCACGGAAACATTTATATGTAAGGAAGTCCTTATTTCCAGTATCAGAATGCCAACTGGAATATTGAAAAGCTATTTTAGAAAATGGTTTACTATTTCAAAGTACACAGGAGACATCTCTAGTCCTCCTGATAAATATCTGGCCACTGGACCCAGATGGCTCTACAGGAGAAAGTGAGGCTGGTGACTGCACAGCCCTCCCTCACTCAAATCGAAGTCAATGACAAGTCATGTCATCATCTCCCTACTGTCATGGTCCTCTTCGAGAACGAAGGACAAACACAACAACAACAACAAAGTACATGATTCTTCATTGCTAAACATTATTTTCTGAACATTTGCTAAACATTTATTTCTGAAATACAGAAATTGCATTTAGAATTTTCTAAAAAGTAGCTAGTCCTTGCCTTTAACTATGTTTAATATAATTTGGAACTTCTGTAAAGGTTTTCTATAGAAAAAGTAGTGTGTATATACATTAGCCACAGAAATATGTCTACCAAACTTTTAAAATTAGTCCTTTTTCTATTAAAATACTGTTTCATTTGAGATAGAATGTATGTAATAGCAACTAAGATACACTAAAGTTTATTATGAGAGATTGTTTTCACAAATGAAATGGCATTTCAGCTAAACGAAATATATAAAATGTTGATACTTGATAAAAGTTGACTCTAATTTCTGTACATTGTACTTGTTCTGAAAAAAGGGTAATGCTCTAAGAATTTATTTTTAAAGAAAGAGTAAAAAGCACATATTAAATATGACACAATAACCATATTGCTGTACTTGTCCATATCCTCTTCTGAACTTTTCATTCTCTTCTGTGAATTTTTAAATGTTTCATTGATTTTCTTTTCTTTCTTTTCCCCTTTTTTTCCTACATGACTATAAATATCACCATCAATTTCTCCCATAATTCCCCCATTCTTAAAAAAACTCTTCTCTTGCAACAAATAAGTATAGTCAAGCAAATCAAACCCACACATTTGTTGCATCTGAAAATGCATGTCTTGGCAATAGGGCAGAACCAAGATACCAGATCAGAGGCAACCCAGCAGAATCCTCTCTAGATAACACTTCAGATAAAATTTTGTTGTGTCAGAACCCATAAAAAGTCAGAATGAAACATTTTTCTGGCCTAAGAAAACTTAGGAGTTTAGCAGGGGAAGTTTGTGACAGGGTAGAGGCCTGTCCAGAGCCCCTGCACATTGTGGCAGCAATAGCAGCCACACCAGCAGCAGCAGCTGCTCAGCACAGAGATGGTAAGGGGTGAGGGTGGGGTGGGTTAGAAAACTAGTCAGAAAAAGATTACCAGGGACCCTTTACTCACATTGGGTGCAGCTGGTATTTTATAGATATTTGAAATAGGGTTTCCTTTTTTATTATTGCCTCTGTAAATGCAGGGGATCTCTAAGATCCCTTCCAACTCGAAAATTCTACAACTGTATGAAAATGAACTTTTAGCTAAGGTTGAAACAGATCTCTTAATATATAATTGTGGATAAGTAGTTTGGCAATTTGAAAGCAGTTTCAATCATTTGACAATAGTAACTTACATTTATATATCCTTAGTGATGACAAAACATTATAGGTAAGATAGGTAAGATAACTCATTGTTTTTAATAAAAACAACTATGTTGAGATAGTTTATCTGTTTTGATGATATTTCATCATTAGAGAAGTAAGTAACTTTCCAAAGGTCACAAGCTAGTGAGTCAAATAGAAGAGACTCAAATCCAAGTCGTCTATTTATTGCTCATTCCATTAAAACTCATAGCATGCCATGCTGCTGCTCAGGACCTCAGGTCACAGAATTTTATAGCATGAGCTGTAAGATGGCAGGATATGATTACCAACCATTTCAGTACTTTCAGTACACAGTGACAAAGATAAAATTTGTTTTTTTAATTTAAGAGGATTATGAGTAGGCTTTTGAGTGTTCATGAACTTCTGAGCTAGCATAAACATTGTTACCCTGGTGTTTACTTATATAGTTATGAGCCCAAGGATAGAGTGTTCAGTGATTTCTAAAAGAAACCTGAAAGAAATTGGAAAAGAATGTATTTGTAAATTGGGCTTAGCTTTTATTGACTTGAGAGGATGACAGGTATATAGTTTTATAGTTAGAAGAACACTCAGAGTCCATTAACAGTATTTATTAAAGGACTTCTCTATGCCAGGCACTTGGAATTTTGTATTTTTCATACCAAAAAAATGAAACAATCACTATCGAGAATAAGTATATATACATAAATGTATACAGAATAAATATAGAACTCTGTTCATTGGTATGAGGAACTCCCAGGTGAAGAAATTTTCTTTCCTAATTATGTTAGCACTTCTCAGCAACTTAATAGTCTTAGACGATTGTCTAGGTTTCTGAGATATTAAGTGCCTCACTTAGGGGTCGCACAGCCAGCATAAGTCAAAGGAACCCTTGAACCCAGGTCTTTCTGGCTCTGAGGCCAGTTCTCTGTCCACTTCTCTTAGGTGCCTCCTTACAGAACAAATATAAAAAGAGCAAATACCCATAAAGACTAATTAGTTAATCTGAGATAGTTTAGAAAGGAGGGTACAAGGTATCAGAAAGGCTTTGTGGTAGAGGTGGTACTTGAGATGCATCTTTAAGAAAGAGAGGGGTTCTATGATGTGGAATGAGGAAGAAGTACATTCCAAGCATGGGGGAATAGCCAGTATAAAGGCACAGTGATGGGGCGTGGAGTATCCTGTAGGAGAAACAAAAAGGACAGTTTGGCTTAATCAGAGGGAGGCGGAGTAAAAAAAAATTAAAAGAAAAATTTTTAAAAATTTAAAAAAAGGAGGAGAAGATGTAATACACAATGAGGATAATCTAACCCTTCATTTTATAGCTGAGGAAACTCATGCTTAGAGAGGAAAAGTAACTTGTACAAGGGTTTTAGATATCCCAACACTTACTTTACGTTTTATTAGTGTAGGGAGGCAGGATTTTTGTTTTTGCTTTTGTTTTGTACTGGCCAAGAGTACAAAAGTAACAGAGATTTGCTGCTGAGAGATATATATAATAAAGGCAAGAATATGGACTAGTTGGTGAACTACGATGACCTTGCATCTTTAGTTTTAGTACTGGCTCATATTAGTTTAATTCATAATATAGGAAGAATATTAGGAATGTCTAACTGTGTCAGATAATTTTCTGAAACAGTAATGTTCTCTCTACTCAGACACATGGCTGGAAAAGACCTAGAGGGATGAAACCTAAAAGCTGATAGCAAGGAGCATCCAATACTAGACCGTATGAGTGGAACAATGCTCGACATAAACTGCCATTCCCAAAAGCCACAAAACGTCTATCAGTGGATCTATGCCTGGTAGTCACCAGCAGTAACCACAAGAACAACAGGGATACTACACCCATCAAAATGCAGGCCCATGGAGATAAACATGATGACATCATCAGAAGTTATCATGAAGTGTTCCATAGTTTTACTTGGTGATCTCATGAGGTCTTATCAATTGCCCTGAATTTCTAGAACAAAGGAGTAAAGTAGAAATAGAAAAAAAAATAACATTGATCACCACCTGAAAGAGATCCCAGGAGGAAAATTTACAGGAATATCATGGCCAAATTTCAAATCTCCCAGGTTAAGGAGAAGATATTACAAGCCCCTACAACAAACAATTTAAATGCTGTGGAGCTGCAATTAGAATTACACAAGACCTAGCCGCTTCTCCACTAAAAGACTGTAGATCTTGGAATATCATATTTCAAAGAGCAAAAGAGCTGGGGTTATAACCGAAAATAACTTATCCAGCAAAGCTGAGTATAATCCTGAATGAAAAAAAAAAAGAAGTTGGAGATGCAAGATTGGTACTCAGCAGAAATGTTGGGGCAGGATAGTTAGATTTGAGAATGATCAGCATAGAGATGGCATTCAATTGGTGTAAAAACTGCTAAATCTTGTGTTATACTGACTGTGGTTCCATGATACTTGAATTGTTTCTTTTTGGCTGCTTGCAATATTTTTTCCTTGACCTGGGAGTTCTGGAATCTGGCTATAATATTCCTTGGAGTTTTCATTTTGGGATCTCTTTCAGGAGATGATCAGTGGATTCTTTCAATTTCTATT